TGTTGGTCTCGAAGCGATGGTAGGGTAAAAAGATTATGACACATGTAGAGGCTCCTTAAAAGCCAAATAACGATTTGTAAGAACTATTTATTAGTCTAAACAAATAAAGAAATTTTGACTTTTGACTTTACTAAACAGTTGACACCACTGGCGAATGCCAAGGCCTTACTCTACCTACAGTGATGCCATTCTGGTGGGGGCAAAAATAACAACCTGGATTAGTATTATGTAACCTCGTCTAGAGACTCCGCGCGCCAAAATATCTCAAAGATATTCATAACGTACTTCAAATTATTTTAGCGCGAGGAGCTGTGTGCGTGTAGTTGTGTGTGAAGCTTTGCGTTGTGTGACAACAGTGACGCGGCGGTGGTCGTCCAAGCAATACACAGTCACTGTATCAGCGTGGTTAACCGCTACTGTTGAGAAGAAAAACTCAGGAGCCGGTTTTTGGTAAAGTTGTATTGTTACACGCAGTAGGTGTTGATTGTACATTGGTTTGAAAGAAAGTGAAAATGGTCGCACTCGTGCACACAGCACGGACGTGTGCAGCGCCATCTATGATTCCCTATATAAATCATTTCGTAAACTGTTAACGTACTGTTAGTTCTTGTAAAGCAAGATGAATAATGATGATGATGTTGCTGTCGCGCTCGCACACTCACTGCGGGCGCGCGTCGCACAGTCGCGACAGCAATATAATTACGCGCGAGCGATAAGGATGGGTAGCTTGGGGTCATTGGACAAAATTCTACGTGCTCACGGACCAGGCTTTACAACGGTTTAGGTATAAGGCTTGCCTTTTCAACAACGAGAGACGTCTATAGCAAAATTATTATAGAAATCCTTGGTTATTGAGCTACCGCAGCTACATTTCTATAAATAACCCATCCTTCGCTACCCGCATTAGACTAGCTAGATGCGACACTTCTGGTGAGCCCACGTGGTTAGCAGAAATATTAATTTGTATACCTACTAATCATTCTCTCTCTTACCCTTAGCATAATATCAGGTGAACACAATTTGTCGAAGAGCCCGATGGCGAAGGGCGGCAGCGCCGTGAAGATCACGTTGTAGAACCCTATCGTCCAGCGCTCGAACAGGATCTGACCCGACCTGGAGAGAAAAAGGACAATTGAAACGCATACATGGGGAGAAAAAGGACAATTGACACGCATACATGGGGAGAAAAAGGCCAATTGAAACGCATACATGGGGAGAAAAAGGACAATTGAAACGCATACATGGGGAGAAAAAGGACAATTGAAACGCATACATGGGGAGAAAAAGGATAATTGAAACGTAGTCATGGGGAGAAAAAGGACAATTGAAACGCATACATGGAGAGAAAAAGGATAAATTAAAACGCATACAAGGGGAGAAAAAGGATAATTGAAACGTAGTCATGGGGAGAAAAAGGTCAACTGCATATTACAACTTAAACTAGCCACGATAGCCGAACGATGAAGAGGTCGGACTGGCGGACTCAACATTCGAGGAATGAGGTTTCGAACCCCGCCATCGCTCTACTATTGTGGTGTGTCACGAGTGCACAAGCATATTCAGCTTAGTACGAGGGGCTAACTAATATTCCCGTATTATCTCGTGGAAGTTGGAACCTTAAGTGGTCGCATAAGAACGGTCTTAAGCTTCAACCACACCAACGCGTACAGATCGCCATCGCCGGCGTGATCATAGGCCAATGACAGGTCGCGTGACCCATGACAGTTCACGCGACCTGTCATTGGTCTATGATCGCGCCGGCGATCTGCACGCGTTTTTTTTTATCCACAACGAGGAAGCTCTTGGCCTGTATCTTACCTGATGGTAAGTGACGATCAGGCCGAAGGTGAAAGCGAGCTTCACCCGGAATCCTCAACCACGGAGGAACTGGCTATCTTACCTCTAACTGCCGGAACACAACAATGCTGTTAACATTGTAACTGGCGACAGACTTAGGTAAGATGGTGGTAGCTAGCCAGACGGACTTAGAACAAGTCCTACCACCAACCAAACCGAACAGAAAAATCTGCCCCCACTGGGAATCGAACCCGGGACCTCTGCGTCTGAAGCAGGTGGTCTTACCACTAGACCACAGAGGCGTTGGTGTGATTGAAGCATTATGCGACTACGGGGTAAAACCACGGGGTTACAACTGATTTCTATTGTGTCTCGATTCGTATTTGTACTAAGGTAAAAAGGAAAATACAATTTTGTCAAAAGAGATGTTGCTTGCTCACCAGGCGGAGTAGATGGCGAACCAGAGCTCGATGACGTAGAGGCAGATGTTCTTGTAGAAGGAGTACAGGATGAGCTTGCTGATGCGAGAGTAGTTCCACGCGCCGTGCACCAGCAGCAGCCGCAGCAGGAAGCGGAACTAAAGGAGGGAATACATTATCATGTTGGAGGGTAAAACGGGACTATTCCCACCTCTTGTTCCCACTGCTGCAATTCCTGTATAGCCGTATTAGAGGGTGGTAATGCTAGAAACACATTTCTGTGGTTCCATGACACACTAAAAGCCAGATCTGAGGTGGAATTGTGTAAAGCAATCGTAATCATTTGACAGTTCATAACGTACGATAAAGTCAGTTAAACAAAGCGTTTGACAGAATAATCGTACGTTATGAACTGTCAAATGGATACGATTGCTTTACACAATTCCACCTCAGATAAACACATCGCTCTGCAATCGCAATCAAACAGTCGATGTTACAAAAAATCCTGTTGCGATAAAACACTTCATGGCAATGTCACCATCGTTTAGGCTAGGTACAGTTATAGCTACTAACTTGACCTTCACTGGTTGGGTTTTCTTCTCCGTGAAAACTGTTTTGTGGATGCTGGTTTCCCGAAATAAATACATGTCTATGCGTTCTCATAAAAGTAGCAGGAAGGCGCTGGATGTAGGCCGCTACAAACCGGGCGATGTGGAAGGCATTGAGAGAGACAGCAGAGACAGCAGCAGTGAACATCCTGTGATTGCAATGATGATGATGGTGATGATGATACCTGTGCGAAAGAGGGTCAAACGGGATCCACGCTTACGAAGTCGCGGGTGGCCGCTAGTATGGATACACAGTGTGTCCGGTCACCAGTGTCCGACCCGTAAAACTTTACCCATTAAAATCTTTAGGGGCGGTCTTGTGGTTGCAATGACGATGATACCTGTGCGATGCTGTAGTCGGAGGCGCAGACGGCCTGCAGGCCTTCGACGCCAGAGATGCCGACGCCGACAGACGCTCGTTGGATCATGGCCACGTCGTTGGCGCCGTCGCCGATCGCCAGCGTCACCGCGCCCGTAGCGGTCGATACCATCTCCACGACCTGTAGAGGAATGGAGATGTAAACGGTTTTCCTGATAACGACAAAATAAATGCCCGAATTTAGGAAGTTCAAATCAAATCAAAAATATTTTATTCAATTTTGACCGCTGGTGGCACTTATGAATGTCAAACAAATATTTATTTTTATTTTATTTTATTTTTTTAACAATGTTTCAACAGCATTAAATTGTACATAAATATAGTAAAAAAAAAGGTACCCTTAAGGGGCACTTTACATGATTGTCTTCTTATCTTCTGGGCCCTACCAACGCTTCAAGACAAACATATTATGGCAAGTGCTGAAAAGAAACGCCGGAACAAACGTTAAGATGTAAACGAAGGTATAGTTCCTTTTACGAAGACGTGATGTCGCAGAAGGAGGCAGCAGAATGCGTGAGCTGCTGGTGGATCTAAACTCTAAACGCACCCGGAAACGGCGGAGAGGTCAAAAGAGGTGACAATATCGTCGTCAAGCTTGTCTTCCTTAAATTTTGTAGGACATATCGAGGAAAGGAGTGGCACGCCAAAGCCAGCGTCAAATTATGAAATTTTAGGTAATCTGACCTCGGCCTTCTGTATGGGCGAGACCCTGCAGCAGACGACGACCTTGCAGGAGATGCAGAGGTCGAGGAAGTCCTTCTTGAGGTCGCAGCCCATGGCGTACTTGAGCGTCTGCCGTCGATGACGTCAGCGACACAACTACTGACCTCGGCCTTCTGTATGGGCGAGACCCTGCAGCAGACGACGACCTTGCAGGAGATGCAGAGGTCGAGGAAGTCCTTCTTGAGGTCGCAGCCCATGGCGTACTTGAGCGTTTTGCCGTCGATGATAAGCGCCACCTCGTTCTGTTTGCGAAGGTTGTCCCCGAACTCTGCCGCGTGGCGGGATATCGTCTCTCTGGTGCCCTGGAAGGAATGTGATAATTCATCATTAGTTTTAAAGTTCTAGTCCTAACCAGAGAGTCAGGTTACCCAGACACAAATCTCCACAGTAATTTGTAACTTTTTGGACAAAAAGGAATATGACTAAGTCCGGTCGGGGTCATTGGACGAAATTCTATCTGCTCGGCGACCGGACTTTACAAGTTTTTGAGAGATTTCTTTGGTAGCTAGCTTCTAAAATGTGACATAAGGATATTCAGGATTGACTTCAGTTGTCACCTACTCTTGGGTTGTAATTTCCTCTTCATATAATCTTTTTTCTAACCAGTTCGCCTCTGTGTCTTGTAGTAGGTACTTATAACAATTTGTATGTTAGAAGAACTACTTGGAGAAGGTAAAAAGAAGGCTTCTGTGATCTACCGACAATGGACTGCTTTTTCTATTCCTTCATGGTGAAGTACTCACATGGTTGAGGCCGCGTACCGGAAAACGCAGCGACTAAACCGACCGGCGACATCGTAAAGGTAGCAGGGAAGCGCTGGACGCAGGCCGCTACCAATCGATCAACATGGAAAGCATTGGGGGAGGCCTATGTTCAGCAGTGGACGTCCTGTGGCTGAAATGATGATGATGATGATGAAGTACTCACATCGAGACTATCCTCGTTGAGTATTAGCAGCGGCATGGCGGAGTGTATGAGGCGCGCCGAGTGGGCGATGTTGATGGCCGTCTCCTGCTTGTCGCCCGTCAGCACCCACACGTACATATTGGCCTTTAGTAAAGCCGCTATCGTGTCGGGCACGCCGTCCTGGGAGGAAGAATATAGGGTCAGAATTATTACTGGCAGTCCACAGCTGGATATGTCCTGTTGAATAAACCACGGATACTCTCGGCGCACTTAAGGGACTCTTATCTAGGTATAAATAAGACGTCAATATTTAGGTGACAATTTATTGCTTGACACAGGTTGTCAATGGTTTACAATGGTTGTCAAAGGTTCACAGATGTCAAAGCCGCCCAGGTATATAAAGCCGGGGAAAAAAATATGGACACCGCGGTACAGCTTTACGCGTCTCAAAATACAGTGACATCTATTGGCCACTAACACAAACAAGTTTCATGGAAGGTTTATACATATCGCCCACCAAGGACCGTCCTAGGTCCATAACAACAGGAAAATCGAAATAAACCCAATGAAACTTAATGCGAATGCATCGCCCACCATGAAACATGTTACGGTACACATCAACAATAAAATTAAAATAAACCATATAAAAACCATTGTACCGTAAAATAATAAAAACACTTTCAATAAACTTAAAACCTTAAAACTAAATAAACTAAAATTATTTAGCCTTAGGAAGGAGACCAAATCTTAACACCTTGAAACTAACAACTCTATCATCGTCGTTACCGGGATGGACCACAATCACCCTGCCACTGAGCCAAGACCCCTAGCTAGTTGTCCTCCTTTATGACAACTAAATCATCAACTGTTAGGTTGAGAAATTTGCATAGTCCACCTTTGTTTTACACCTTCGCGACGTTCCTAAAGCTGTGAGTTTTCAAGTCTCCAACCAACTATCAACTTACTGTTCCTAGCAAGAAAAGGCTTCAAGAACCGGAGAAAACTACGATGGGTAAGTATCAGTTTTCGTTTTACCTTTCAACATCATCACTAAAGTTCTCAGATTGGCATGCAACTATAGCCTTCTGTATCTCTACTGTTGTTGAGTACCCGTCGCGTTTCTCCAGCAGCGTATCCTTTTATATTTAACTTTTCTTTTTGTTTCAGTTTCTTCGTAGGTCTGCACGTCGACCTTGTTGCGGTATACATTTTCACTTCGGTTCCAGGTAATACCACCACTTTTTATTATTTTATTAGTTTTCCTTTTCAGCCCTTCTTCGTTTCCTTTCCGTTGACTTACTTTACCATCTTCTTTCATTGTCTTTACCAAATCTTCATTGTTAGTAGTCAAATTTTGCAACACACATTCTTCTTTACCTAACATCATATTCATTTCTCTGTAAAGTTGANGTCGAGGAAGTCCTTCTTGAGGTCGCAGCCCATGGCGTACTTGAGCGTCTGCCGTCGATGACGTCAGCGACACAACTACTGACCTCGGCCTTCTGTATGGGCGAGACCCTGCAGCAGACGACGACCTTGCAGGAGATGCAGAGGTCGAGGAAGTCCTTCTTGAGGTCGCAGCCCATGGCGTACTTGAGCGTCTGCCGTCGATGACGTCAGCGACACAACTACTGACCTCGGCCTTCTGTATGGGCGAGACCCTGCAGCAGACGACGACCTTGCAGGAGATGCAGAGGTCGAGGAAGTCCTTCTTGAGGTCGCAGCCCATGGCGTACTTGAGCGTCTGCCGTCGATGACGTCAGCGACACAACTACTGACCTCGGCCTTCTGTATGGGCGAGACCCTGCAGCAGACGACGACCTTGCAGGAGATGCAGAGGTCGAGGAAGTCCTTCTTGAGGTCGCAGCCCATGGCGTACTTGAGCGTCTGCCGTCGATGACGTCAGCGACACAACTACTGACCTCGGCCTTCTGTATGGGCGAGACCCTGCAGCAGACGACGACCTTGCAGGAGATGCAGAGGTCGAGGAAGTCCTTCTTGAGGTCGCAGCCCATGGCGTACTTGAGCGTCTGCCGTCGATGACGTCAGCGACACAACTACTGACCTCGGCCTTCTGTATGGGCGAGACCCTGCAGCAGACGACGACCTTGCAGGAGATGCAGAGGTCGAGGAAGTCCTTCTTGAGGTCGCAGCCCATGGCGTACTTGAGCGTCTGCCGTCGATGACGTCAGCGACACAACTACTGACCTCGGCCTTCTGTATGGGCGAGACCCTGCAGCAGACGACGACCTTGCAGGAGATGCAGAGGTCGAGGAAGTCCTTCTTGAGGTCGCAGCCCATGGCGTACTTGAGCGTCTGCCGTCGATGACGTCAGCGACACAACTACTGACCTCGGCCTTCTGTATGGGCGAGACCCTGCAGCAGACGACGACCTTGCAGGAGATGCAGAGGTCGAGGAAGTCCTTCTTGAGGTCGCAGCCCATGGCGTACTTGAGCGTCTGCCGTCGATGACGTCAGCGACACAACTACTGACCTCGGCCTTCTGTATGGGCGAGACCCTGCAGCAGACGACGACCTTGCAGGAGATGCAGAGGTCGAGGAAGTCCTTCTTGAGGTCGCAGCCCATGGCGTACTTGAGCGTCTGCCGTCGATGACGTCAGCGACACAACTACTGACCTCGGCCTTCTGTATGGGCGAGACCCTGCAGCAGACGACGACCTTGCAGGAGATGCAGAGGTCGAGGAAGTCCTTCTTGAGGTCGCAGCCCATGGCGTACTTGAGCGTCTGCCGTCGATGACGTCAGCGACACAACTACTGACCTCGGCCTTCTGTATGGGCGAGACCCTGCAGCAGACGACGACCTTGCAGGAGATGCAGAGGTCGAGGAAGTCCTTCTTGAGGTCGCAGCCCATGGCGTACTTGAGCGTCTGCCGTCGATGACGTCAGCGACACAACTACTGACCTCGGCCTTCTGTATGGGCGAGACCCTGCAGCAGACGACGACCTTGCAGGAGATGCAGAGGTCGAGGAAGTCCTTCTTGAGGTCGCAGCCCATGGCGTACTTGAGCGTCTGCCGTCGATGACGTCAGCGACACAACTACTGACCTCGGCCTTCTGTATGGGCGAGACCCTGCAGCAGACGACGACCTTGCAGGAGATGCAGAGGTCGAGGAAGTCCTTCTTGAGGTCGCAGCCCATGGCGTACTTGAGCGTCTGCCGTCGATGACGTCAGCGACACAACTACTGACCTCGGCCTTCTGTATGGGCGAGACCCTGCAGCAGACGACGACCTTGCAGGAGATGCAGAGGTCGAGGAAGTCCTTCTTGAGGTCGCAGCCCATGGCGTACTTGAGCGTCTGCCGTCGATGACGTCAGCGACACAACTACTGACCTCGGCCTTCTGTATGGGCGAGACCCTGCAGCAGACGACGACCTTGCAGGAGATGCAGAGGTCGAGGAAGTCCTTCTTGAGGTCGCAGCCCATGGCGTACTTGAGCGTCTGCCGTCGATGACGTCAGCGACACAACTACTGACCTCGGCCTTCTGTATGGGCGAGACCCTGCAGCAGACGACGACCTTGCAGGAGATGCAGAGGTCGAGGAAGTCCTTCTTGAGGTCGCAGCCCATGGCGTACTTGAGCGTCTGCCGTCGATGACGTCAGCGACACAACTACTGACCTCGGCCTTCTGTATGGGCGAGACCCTGCAGCAGACGACGACCTTGCAGGAGATGCAGAGGTCGAGGAAGTCCTTCTTGAGGTCGCAGCCCATGGCGTACTTGAGCGTCTGCCGTCGATGACGTCAGCGACACAACTACTGACCTCGGCCTTCTGTATGGGCGAGACCCTGCAGCAGACGACGACCTTGCAGGAGATGCAGAGGTCGAGGAAGTCCTTCTTGAGGTCGCAGCCCATGGCGTACTTGAGCGTCTGCCGTCGATGACGTCAGCGACACAACTACTGACCTCGGCCTTCTGTATGGGCGAGACCCTGCAGCAGACGACGACCTTGCAGGAGATGCAGAGGTCGAGGAAGTCCTTCTTGAGGTCGCAGCCCATGGCGTACTTGAGCGTCTGCCGTCGATGACGTCAGCGACACAACTACTGACCTCGGCCTTCTGTATGGGCGAGACCCTGCAGCAGACGACGACCTTGCAGGAGATGCAGAGGTCGAGGAAGTCCTTCTTGAGGTCGCAGCCCATGGCGTACTTGAGCGTCTGCCGTCGATGACGTCAGCGACACAACTACTGACCTCGGCCTTCTGTATGGGCGAGACCCTGCAGCAGACGACGACCTTGCAGGAGATGCAGAGGTCGAGGAAGTCCTTCTTGAGGTCGCAGCCCATGGCGTACTTGAGCGTCTGCCGTCGATGACGTCAGCGACACAACTACTGACCTCGGCCTTCTGTATGGGCGAGACCCTGCAGCAGACGACGACCTTGCAGGAGATGCAGAGGTCGAGGAAGTCCTTCTTGAGGTCGCAGCCCATGGCGTACTTGAGCGTCTGCCGTCGATGACGTCAGCGACACAACTACTGACCTCGGCCTTCTGTATGGGCGAGACCCTGCAGCAGACGACGACCTTGCAGGAGATGCAGAGGTCGAGGAAGTCCTTCTTGAGGTCGCAGCCCATGGCGTACTTGAGCGTCTGCCGTCGATGACGTCAGCGACACAACTACTGACCTCGGCCTTCTGTATGGGCGAGACCCTGCAGCAGACGACGACCTTGCAGGAGATGCAGAGGTCGAGGAAGTCCTTCTTGAGGTCGCAGCCCATGGCGTACTTGAGCGTCTGCCGTCGATGACGTCAGCGACACAACTACTGACCTCGGCCTTCTGTATGGGCGAGACCCTGCAGCAGACGACGACCTTGCAGGAGATGCAGAGGTCGAGGAAGTCCTTCTTGAGGTCGCAGCCCATGGCGTACTTGAGCGTCTGCCGTCGATGACGTCAGCGACACAACTACTGACCTCGGCCTTCTGTATGGGCGAGACCCTGCAGCAGACGACGACCTTGCAGGAGATGCAGAGGTCGAGGAAGTCCTTCTTGAGGTCGCAGCCCATGGCGTACTTGAGCGTCTGCCGTCGATGACGTCAGCGACACAACTACTGACCTCGGCCTTCTGTATGGGCGAGACCCTGCAGCAGACGACGACCTTGCAGGAGATGCAGAGGTCGAGGAAGTCCTTCTTGAGGTCGCAGCCCATGGCGTACTTGAGCGTCTGCCGTCGATGACGTCAGCGACACAACTACTGACCTCGGCCTTCTGTATGGGCGAGACCCTGCAGCAGACGACGACCTTGCAGGAGATGCAGAGGTCGAGGAAGTCCTTCTTGAGGTCGCAGCCCATGGCGTACTTGAGCGTCTGCCGTCGATGACGTCAGCGACACAACTACTGACCTCGGCCTTCTGTATGGGCGAGACCCTGCAGCAGACGACGACCTTGCAGGAGATGCAGAGGTCGAGGAAGTCCTTCTTGAGGTCGCAGCCCATGGCGTACTTGAGCGTCTGCCGTCGATGACGTCAGCGACACAACTACTGACCTCGGCCTTCTGTATGGGCGAGACCCTGCAGCAGACGACGACCTTGCAGGAGATGCAGAGGTCGAGGAAGTCCTTCTTGAGGTCGCAGCCCATGGCGTACTTGAGCGTCTGCCGTCGATGACGTCAGCGACACAACTACTGACCTCGGCCTTCTGTATGGGCGAGACCCTGCAGCAGACGACGACCTTGCAGGAGATGCAGAGGTCGAGGAAGTCCTTCTTGAGGTCGCAGCCCATGGCGTACTTGAGCGTCTGCCGTCGATGACGTCAGCGACACAACTACTGACCTCGGCCTTCTGTATGGGCGAGACCCTGCAGCAGACGACGACCTTGCAGGAGATGCAGAGGTCGAGGAAGTCCTTCTTGAGGTCGCAGCCCATGGCGTACTTGAGCGTCTGCCGTCGATGACGTCAGCGACACAACTACTGACCTCGGCCTTCTGTATGGGCGAGACCCTGCAGCAGACGACGACCTTGCAGGAGATGCAGAGGTCGAGGAAGTCCTTCTTGAGGTCGCAGCCCATGGCGTACTTGAGCGTCTGCCGTCGATGACGTCAGCGACACAACTACTGACCTCGGCCTTCTGTATGGGCGAGACCCTGCAGCAGACGACGACCTTGCAGGAGATGCAGAGGTCGAGGAAGTCCTTCTTGAGGTCGCAGCCCATGGCGTACTTGAGCGTCTGCCGTCGATGACGTCAGCGACACAACTACTGACCTCGGCCTTCTGTATGGGCGAGACCCTGCAGCAGACGACGACCTTGCAGGAGATGCAGAGGTCGAGGAAGTCCTTCTTGAGGTCGCAGCCCATGGCGTACTTGAGCGTCTGCCGTCGATGACGTCAGCGACACAACTACTGACCTCGGCCTTCTGTATGGGCGAGACCCTGCAGCAGACGACGACCTTGCAGGAGATGCAGAGGTCGAGGAAGTCCTTCTTGAGGTCGCAGCCCATGGCGTACTTGAGCGTCTGCCGTCGATGACGTCAGCGACACAACTACTGACCTCGGCCTTCTGTATGGGCGAGACCCTGCAGCAGACGACGACCTTGCAGGAGATGCAGAGGTCGAGGAAGTCCTTCNCATTTTCACTTCGGTTCCAGGTAATACCACCACTTTTTATTATTTTATTAGTTTTCCTTTTCAGCCCTTCTTCGTTTCCTTTCCGTTGACTTACTTTACCATCTTCTTTCATTGTCTTTACCAAATCTTCATTGTTAGTAGTCAAATTTTGCAACACACATTCTTCTTTACCTAACATCATATTCATTTCTCTGTAAAGTTGACTCCCTTGATCGATAGTTCCGCAACCCATCATGAGATCGTCCACATGAAAGTCTGACAGTACCTTCTCAGCCGCCGTTGGAGAATCCTCACCGTGATCCAAATTCATGTCAACATATTCACTAGTAACCGCTGTGTATTTCTGTTTCAGATCGCCGTTCTTCAGTCTTCGTTCTAATGAATACGTTCTTTTTTTAGATGTTTGCCAGGGATTCTTCACATCGGGAACTTCGTCGAACGTGTCTTTTTATTTTCTGAACACGTTCCTTTCTTTGGCAACGGAATGTCATCTTCTAGCTCCCTAAATCTTTTTAGAAGCTGATTATCCTCCACGCTACAATGCATCACATTTATTGTTTCAGAGGGCTTCGTCGGCGTGTTAACGACACCAGACAGAATCCACCCCAATGACGAACACTGAGCAAGTGGTGAACCAAGCGGTCCCTTGATGACTCCGTTTTGAAGTACCCGGCTATATACTTCTGACCCTAACAACAAATCCACCCTGTTAGAAGTATAATAACTCGGATCCGCAAGGACAATGTCCTCAAGCTCCTTCCACTTCTCCGCTGTTATCTTTTGGTTAGACAAAAGCGAAGTGATGGATCCTAGTACGTAAGCTTTTACTGTTACAATAAAGTTCGGATCGACCCGTGATGCTATTTTTATTTCTACCATCGACTTTGTCGTGAGCCCGTTCGTGCCACCTACTCCTACTATTTGCCCTCTAGCTGGTATCTTCTTCAAACCCAATAATTCAACCATGGCCTCTGTAATAAAAGAGTATTGGGACCCTTGATCCAGCAGAGAACGAATAGTATAAGTTTGGCCGTATTTAGAAACAGTATCTACAAGTGCCGTCGCTAGCAATACCTGGCTACAATCCACAGTGCTTCTTGTAGACGTGCAGGAAATAACAGCACCAACTTTCTTGGTATCAGCCGTAGTAACCTCCCCGTTGTGGGGTTCCTGAGCAGCAATCTTGTTCGTAGGATGCAGCAGAGTGTGGTGCTTCCTCTTGCATATGCGACACTTGTATTTGCTGTGGCAGAATTTGGCAGAGTGATTGTTTCCGAGACAACAAAAGCAAACATTGTGAGAAGCAACGAATTCGCGACGTAAATCCACAGACGTATCCCTAAAACCCTTACACGTGCTCAATTTGTGCTCCTTCTTACAAAAGGGACAGACTAACGTGGTAACGTGCATTGCTTTAATTTGACTAACAGGCAAGGTTTTATTAGGCATTGGTTTGGACTCTGAACTCAAAAACTCAAGGGCTCGGTAACGGTTTTTAAGAAACTGTTCGAACTGATCGTAAGTTGGTAGCTCGGTAGAGTTATTATCCGCGATGCTAAGCTCCCATTGCCTTTTTGATTCAGGGTCCAACCTCAAAGTTATTATATGAATTACCAGCACGTCCCAGGTACTCGTATCTATGCCAATATTAGACAGAGCGTACAAACAATCATTTGTGATGTCCATCAGACCTTTCAAACCACTAGCCGACTCACAAGTTACATTTTTCTGGCTTAGTAGTCTCTTCAAAATATGATGACAAAGGTATCGCTTGTTGTTATACCTCTCGTCTAATAAACCCCAGCAATAATCGTAATTACTGCCTGTAATCGGAATGTTACATAAAAGTTGCTCGGCTTCACCTTGTAAGTACCCCTTTAAATACAGCAATTTTTGAGCATTTCCTAAAGTCTTGTTCGAGTGTATCAAAGACTGGAATAAGTCTCGAAAGGTGTTCCATTCCGAGTACTTTCCTGAGAAGATCGGAATATTTACTTTTGGTAGTTTTACATTAGGCGCCTGTAAAGAGGGCTGGTCAGAATCAGTGTTGGAAGTACTTGTGATTATAACGTATTCAGATAAACCCGTTTTTAATTTACATTTATAATCAATATAACAATCTTCTGCTTTGTCATAAGTATCGCTTCGCATATAGGTCGACTTGGACAATACTTTAGGTTCCGTAGTGCGCAACAATTCCTTATGACCCAACAGAAACTCATTCCACAAACCTTCAAGTAGTTCCAACTTTCCCTCTAAATACTCCTTGGTCAAACGACCTTTAGAACTTTTTAAGAAATTGACTTTTGACTTTTCTATTCTTGACGCGAGGTCAAACTGACAGTTCTCTAAACGTTCCATCATAAATTCCGTTAAATTGAGATGTAAACAAACTTCCAAAAATCGTAAAAAAATTCTAAGTCTTTGACAACTCTGACAGAAATCGGGCATAGGTTCCCCGTAGCAACCGCTTTTTCAAAACTATTCTAAGTCCTAAATAATTATTCTAAAATTTTTCTAAGTTAATGTAAACAATTTAAAATTTCTAAGTTAAACTACCAGTGTAAATAAAGTTCAAAATCCTTCAACTTTCTTCTCAAATAAAAATGTCAAAAGTTGTATCCGTTTCACTCACACACTATCACAATAGACGGCGAACTCTTCATCAAACACGAACTCCTTCGGGCTCCGAACCCGAACTCCTTTCGGGCTCCGACACGAACTGCTTAGGGCTCCAACACGAACTCCTTAGGGCTCCAGCATGAATCCCGTAGGGCTCCGATCGTGTCTCCACCAGATGGCGCCACTTCAGCGCAGCACCACCATCATCATCTGATGTTCCTCAACCAGTTGGTTGCCCTGACAGCACCACAGCTAGTACTGTCAAACTAGTGTCAGCAGCTCCTAGCTGACCCAGCTTCTTGACCTGTCCTGTTTGTGACAGCGATCCACTGTCCAGGACGTCACCCCCCTCCAAAAATGCACGAAGTGTAATCGCGGCACCTGCACCGTTACCAGTGCCCAATGGACATCAGCTTCCTGATGATATCCGACTCGACAGGACCATGAATAAACCACGGATACTCTCGGCGCACTTAAGGGACTCTTATCTAGGTATAAATAAGACGTCAATATTTAGGTGACAATTTATTGCTTGACACAGGTTGTCAATGGTTCACAATGGTTGTCAAAGGTTCACAGATGTCAAAGCCGCCCAGGTATATAAAGCCGGGGAAAAAAATATGGACACCGCGGTACAGCTTTACGCGTCTCAAAATACAGTGACATCTATTGGCCACTAACACAAACAAGTTTCATGGAAGGTTTATACACCTGTCTTGTTCAAGGATCGCCATAATATAAGATTTCCCGCTTTTTGATATCTAGGTCAATAAATAAAAGAGTATTAATATTTCAGACTTTCTTTACGCTAGCTTTTTTCGAACATCGTCATTTCGTCAGCGCTTGTGTAACGTCTACACTTAGCATAGCGGTATGAGGGGGTTGTGTTACTTGTCCAAAAAGACATCGCATTAGCACTGCGTGGACGCAAGTGTAAATACAGCGCTGGTCTTGACGACGCTCGAAAGACACTAGTGTGAAGACTTTCAGTGTATTGTTCAACATAAAGTCCAGTCGCCGAGCAGATAAAATTTCGTGCAATGACCCCAAGTTACCCACCCTTATCGCTCGCGCGTAACTTTAGTAAGAACAATCTGACAAATGATCCAATGATTTCAAAGCTGTGTAGGTAAGAAAGATCTCTAAACGAAAGTACGGAATCTTTAGAACGATTCGCACTTGGCCGTGTGCTTATTACCTCAATGACCTACCTGCAGCTTGTCCTCGATGGCGGTGGCGCCGAGTAGACGTAGGTTGTTCTCGATGAGCAGCGCCGCCTCCTCGATCTTCTGCTCGCGCTCCTGGATCGCGATCGATGCCTTGTGGTACGTGTTCGACCACTCCTGTGAAAGACATTACTTTTATAAGTTGTATTCAAGACAGTAGCTGGCGTGTTAAGATATTTTTTAAGACATATCGACTGAGTAATACTTGTGACAAATTAAGTTCGAACTTCTTCTGTGTTCTGATTAATTTCGTTGCGGGTCCAATGAATGAGAGTTTAACTTACCCTCGGGACATACTTGACCTTCATTGGGTTTTTATTGGCGGTCAAGCTGTGGCTCTTAAGCACACATGAGTTACAGCAACGGGAACGAGAGGTGGGAATAGTCCCGTAGTCCACATGTAGGCCACGAAGTGGCCCGCCAAGGCATTTGAATTTGCCCGCCAGCGAGTTAGCTGGCGCGCGGTATAAATAGCCTTTATAGTTTTGCTTTGGTTTTCAAAAAGCTGTGGCACGGCGTCGCCAAGTCTAAGAAATTTTGCTCATCTGAAAAATCTATTGGGCCAGCCTTGCCGTAGTCAGCACCGTCCTCAGGCTTTTCTAATATACTCAACATCAAATAAACCGCACCTTCCGCGACGCGAACTTTAAAGATATTCTTCTGTCTGTCACAATCATAGTGCCTCAAAAATATTGGTGTTATTTGAAAGCCCGATAAATATCCTTAAAGAAAAACACCTTTAATTTCTAAATAAATGATTAACATATACCATAAATGTGACTTGAAAATAGACCTCACTTTGGGCTCACCTCTGGGATCAACTAGACCAATTTTTATGGTTGAAAAACCAATAAATGATCTTACGTGTCCTCTTTAACAGATGGATAGTGATTAATCCCAACTTAACAGTATTATAGCCATAAAAGTTGGTTCAAGCGTAACTACCTATTTTTTGAAGAAGTGACTCTGGATCCTTCTAAAGACACATTTTTTGGGGTAAAAACATTTCCTTTAATGAAATGAAGTTTAAAACTAGGCTTTTAAATGGTGCCAATATTGGTGGGAAGTGGGGATGCATAAGTTTGAAAGTTTTGAAAGTGCTTATCGTGGGAGGTGCGATTTATTTGATGTCGAGTGTATATTATTCAGCGACTGTTGTACCTGGTACAGCGCCTCGGCACAGAATAAGTAATAGTACAGGTACAGAAGGATTACTCCGCACGACGATTTAAGTAAATGCGAGTCTTGCTGCGACGCGATACAGTGAAATTCAGCTCGCACAGCACTACGTACGAGTGGAGACAAGTGTCGTACCTGGTACAGCGCCTCGGGCACGTCCGCCACGGCGAACACCAGCGTCCGCAGCCCCTCGGACGCGAAGTGCTCGAGTGGAGACAAGTGTCGTACCTGGTACAGCGCCTCGGGCACGTCCGCCACGGCGAACACCAGCGTCCGCAGCCCCTCGGACGCGAAGTGCTCGAGTGGAGACAAGTGTCGTACCTGGTACAGCGCCTCGGGCACGTCCGCCACGGCGAACACCAGCGTCCGCAGCCCCTCGGACGCGAAGTGCTCGAGTGGAGACAAGTGTCGTACCTGGTACAGCGCCTCGGGCACGTCCGCCACGGCGAACACCAGCGTCCGCAGCCCCTCGGACGCGAAGTGCTCGAGTGGAGACAAGTGTCGTACCTGGTACAGCGCCTCGGGCACGTCCGCCACGGCGAACACCAGCGTCCGCAGCCCCTCGGACGCGAAGTGCTCGAGTGGAGACAAGTGTCGTACCTGGTACAGCGCCTCGGGCACGTCCGCCACGGCGAACACCAGCGTCCGCAGCCCCTCGGACGCGAAGTGCTCGAGTGGAGACAAGTGTCGTACCTGGTACAGCGCCTCGGGCACGTCCGCCACGGCGAACACCAGCGTCCGCAGCCCCTCGGACGCGAAGTGCTCGAGTGGAGACAAGTGTCGTACCTGGTACAGCGCCTCGGGCACGTCCGCCACGGCGAACACCAGCGTCCGCAGCCCCTCGGACGCGAAGTGCTCGAGGTGCGCCAGCGTGGCGGCGGAGTATGGCGCGGCGGGACCGCCCGCCAGTCGCGGGTAGATTACCGAGTCCGCACCCTTGCAGTACAGCTTGATCTCACCTGCGAAAGTTTTGCAATTAATCAATCAATTGGTTGTATCACTCATCGGAAATCCTGATTACATAGAAGTTGCAGTAATCATACTTTTGAAGTTTATCTAGCGTATTTTGTTACGTCATCTTTAAAGATTATTAAAAAAATTAGCAATTTGTATTGCATAAATTACTAATAGTCCCCTCGTGTTAAGCTAAATAAGCTTGTGTTACGAGTGGGCTCACCACAACAGTCGAGCGGCAGTGGGACTCGAACCCGCGTTTCTCGGATCTCGAGTCGGCCATATTGACATATTATGACATGACAGAGCATACAAATCTGAAGTTTCGCTGACGTTTGACCGTCACAAAAACACCCTTTCGTGCCGTTCCCATACCTCAGGCACTGACAGAGTTAAGTGCTAGAGCTATACGAACCAGTGGGCGTCCTGACGATGACAGACATCCGCTTCCTGGACGAGGTGAAGTCTATAACATTGAGGATGGCATACTCCTCCTCCTGCGTGGCCATCCCAGCAGTGGGCCCGGCGGCGGTGGCGGTGGCGGGCGCGGGCACGCGGATTCGCACGCAGGTGGGAGTGCGTGTCTCGAACACGAAGCCGAAGCGCGCCGCGCCCATCACTAGCGCGCGCTCGTCTGGGGCGAAAAGAATCACTATCACTACATAGTATATAACTTTTTAAAAAAATAAAACCGACTTCAAATGCGTGAACACAAAAAAAACTAAAAATTAAAAATATTGCGTATAAAAAAGTACATCCCCAATTTTCCACCCTTGGGGGTGCAATATTTTCTTCAAATTCGCATGAAACCACCCTTTTGATAATACCTATTCAACAAAAAAATAATCGTTCAAATTGATTTATAATCGGCGGAGATATTGCGTATAAAAAAGTTCATCCCCAATTTTCCACCCTTGGGGGTTGTTTTTTCTATTATTAAATTTAAATGGGACCACCCTTGAGGTATTACCTATACGCCGAAAAAAGATTGGTTCAAATCGGTTCATAATTGGCGGAGTTATCGCGTAACAAACATAGAAAAAAAACATACGGGTCGAATTGAGAACCTCCTCCTTTTTTGAAGTCGGTTGAAAACAAAGTCGCTTTCCGCTGTCTGTCCCTATATGCTGAGATCTTTAGAACTACGAAACGGACTTTGATGTGTTTTTTTAAAATAGTTAGAGTGATTCAAGAGGAAGGTTTAAATGTATATTTAGCATCCGTGCGAAGCCAGGGAGGGTCGCTAGTAATAAATAAATAATAGTTTATTCATAAAAATAAGTGTATTATTTTTTCAAATCGGTTCAATATTTCGGAACATACTCAATATAAACAAACAAAAAAATCAAATCTTTTCACTTTATAACATCGCGTAAAAGAGCGAGATAGTATAACGCCCGTACACAAACGATGTTTACTTAAGTGAAGCAGCAAATCGAACGCACAGCAGCGTTGAATAAAGCTCTGTGATTGTTCGTGTGTTTCACAGGGCGTTCACGCGCACTGTGAAATCTCCTAGTAATATTTGTGAATACTGGCGTAATATGAGATATTATTGAACTTGATCGCACTCTGGTTGCTGAGCTGCGAACACACTGGACAACCCCGTTGAAATTTTCAAGTGAAGCAATTGTATTTTAAAATTCAAGTAATGGAGCGTTACCCGGCGAGGCGGCGTGGTAGTTGATCTTCCCGTTGACCTTCTCGGGGATGACTGTGTGACAGATGGCCAGCATAGTGAGGAACTCGCGGATAACGGGCGCGGCGGCGCTGCGCATCAGGTTCTGGTAGAGAAGCGTGTCTTCCAGACGCTCGCTCTCACCGGGACGGTTGTAGATCATCTGGAAAGGGTTGTTAGGACCATTAGTCAACTGATTGATATACTTATTATTATGGACAGGAAAGAAACAAACTACTTTCACTTAGATTTCAAGTATCTTATGTTTCCAAACTTTAAGCAATGCAAAAGCGGGGCGGATTCATGTTCAACGTTCAGCGGCTACTCAGTTACTCTATTACGTTACGCGTTACCATTTATTTCTATCCAATTCAATTTCGGCGCTCTCGAGGTACATTTAGTGCCTGAAGCGAGCATACCTCAGTGAATATCAATAGGCAACTATTGTCATTACAACAAGGTAGTGAAATAATCCTCAACGCAAAAGCATTGTAAACATTGAGTGATCAAGATATTCATACATAAGACGTGATGGGAATGGATTAACATCCATCATACCTTTCAAATAAAATAGTCCATAGTTAGTCGCTTATTAATTGATGGCAAATCATTGTCTGAACTCTGTACCTAGAACTTAGAATAGTTGTATCTCTTCTTCTTTGTCCAAGCCATTTCCCATTATTTGGGGTCGGCTCTCCTCGTTCTGTGGCGCCAGGACAGTCTGCCTTGAGTATGTAATAAAGAATTGAGTATTGGGTTGTTTCACTTAAAAGAGCTGTTCGTTTCAGCCAAATGACGTCCACGGCTGGACAAAGGCCTCCCCAAAGAGCTTGACAACAACCGATGCCGCCCGCATCCAGGCACCTCCCGCGATCCTCACCAGATCGTCGGTCATCTAGTGAAGGGGCCTGCCCACACTATGTCTTCCGGCCCATTCTTGCCACTCGAGAATAGCTGTAACTGCTGTAGCTGAGAAATGAAATATGAAGCATACCTCAGCGATGGAGCACTTGTGGAAGTCCATGACGTTGCAGGTGAGCGTGCCGGTCTTGTCGCTGAACACGTACTTGACCATGCCCAGCTCCTCGTTGAGGTTGGACGTGCGCGCCATGGCCGGCGTGTCAGTCGCCGAGTGATACATCTCGCTGTCCATCGCGATGAACTTCGCCTGGAAAACGCAATACAGGGTGTTGTTTTCATTTTTATTTAGGTGAACATAAAAGCATTATCCACCAAAAAAAAATTACAAATGAAAGGGAAATTTTCAGCTAATATTTTCCGTGCGACATCAACTGTACTGTGGCTCGCAATACTGCAATACGTTTACACTGCGGCACCATTGAGCTACGCGGATCGCTCGCTTAACATGTCGGATAGCCTACTGAAGGAAGCCACGTAAAGTAGGTAGTGTAAATAGGTATGTTTCTTTGACAAACTAAAGTTAAAGTTCGATTTAATTTTTTTTCGAAGTAATTTTTTTTACTGATTCGTGATTAGAATAAGCTACTTAATCAACTCCCTAAATATGGCAAGAGTTGAAATCAACACCCTGTATAATACCAAGTTTTTTTCATCAAGAAAGGTAAAAAAAAATTACACAAGTACCCACTAGTCTTCACCAGTGGGTTATGTGGCACTCTCCCTGCCAGACGGACGGGACTAACCTCCAAAGCTTATTGGGAACAAATTGATTACAATTTGTTGTATGAATTAGACAGTCTAGACATTCATCCATGAAAGCGTCACTCCGCCACAAACGCAATACCAAAATAACCCCACCTCTCATCCCTACCAATGCGATTCCTGCTTTTTCAAAAGATACGAACGAAATACAGATTGAAGAGTCAATCCAAAGAGATGAAAATAGACCCTTAAATTGAGGAATGACAAATTACTCAACTATTATCTTTAAAACTTGATATTTTTTATTATCACTTAAGTAAAATAAATTATTACTTACTTGAAAAAATCTAACAATTTCAGCAGTAACTTGTAACGATATAGGTATAAGATTGTTGTACAATATCAAAAATGTCAAAAAGTTAAATCCGAAATGTGTATTCTGCGCCTCTGTAACAAAGAAACACATATTTTAATATTATAAATAAGACAAAATAGGTAGTAGTAGATTTTCGAGTAGTTTTAGAATTCTTGTTCACGCTAAATAATTTCACCGTGTCTGCCGCAGACAAGACAAGAATTTCGTCGGACCTGGCTACGAAAATTTGTCACACAGTGCGCGTCCGCCGCGTGTCATATCTTACGCAGACAATAATTATTTCTTGTTCAGCGCCGAAGCAATGTACTCGCGTAATTATGCTGCTGTCGCGACTGTGCGACGGGCGCCCGCAGTGAGTGTGCGAACGCGACAGCAACATAATTACGCGCGAGCGATAGGGATGGGTAGCTTGGGATCATTGGACGGGATTCTACGTGGCTTTAGACCCGGCAACTTTTCTTAGCGTGTACAAGCGGCCTTTGGCCTATAGTCTGATCTGTGACCACGTAGAATTTTGTCCAATGACCCCAAACTACCCATCCTTATCGTTCGCGCGTAATTATGTTGCTCTCGCGCTCGCACACTCACTGCGGGCGCGCGTCGCACAGTCGCGACAGCAATATAATTACGCGCGAGCGATAATAGCTTGGGTTCATTGGACAAAATTCTACGTGGTCACAGACCGGGCTTTAGTTCACCATACACGGCGGAATCCACGCGGTAGTTGGGCAGTTCTTGGACAATTTGCATCGCACCGTAACCGCACGGTTACCGCCCTAGTGCCTCACCTATGAGAACCACCCACAAACCGCGCGTGTCTGAACAAGGCTTTAGGCGGGGTTTAGAATCGCGCTGAACGTCGGCGCTGACAGATCAATATGTATGTAATTGAAGGGTACGTTCCTGAGTGCCGCTGATCGCTCGGCGCCGACGCTTCATACATTTCGGCTGTTAGCGTTGACGGTCAGCGTGACTCTAAAACCAGCCTTAGCGCAAGCCTAGTGGGTAGATGGTGCGCTCACCCGTGAGGCCGATGTACCAGTCGCTGTGGCTGCGCACCCACAGCTCGTTGAAGGCGGCGCTGAGCAGCGACAGCGCCAGCAGGATCATGAACAGCATCAGGATGTGCGTGTTGGTCTGCCGGTCGATCGACGAGCGCTTCAGCGGGGCTGTAAGGGATACAAAGTTAGAGATTACGCTTTTAAAAAGCGCTTTTAAGGCCTTCGCTAAGATGCACGTACACACGGCTAGTGTTAACTATCCATTTCCGTTTTAGATAAAGATAAAGATAAATTTATTTGTTCAAACATGTGTACATAAGGTGTACCGTTTTAAAGTTAGCATTTAAAACGGTATTAACATGTCGTACCTTTGCGGTGTACAAATTAAATAAAAAAAAAACAGTTACAATAATACTGCTTAATCAATCAAATAAAATTAAAGTTAAAGTCAATGTTGCATAATCAGATTCAGTTTTTGCTCTCGCTGTCATCAAATGGTAATTCTTTGCGATAGAACGAGACGACATGAACGGCTCTTACCTTACACGTCCCACTTTAAACCAACATTACTTCAAACTACGGGCTGTTTATTTATTGCCATTAGACTTTTATAAAGCGCTTTTTTTACATCCCAGTTAAACTCTAACACTAAAGTCAAAGTCAAAGTCAAAGTCAAAATTTTTTTATTTGTTTAGACTAATAAATAGTTCTTACAAATCGTCATTTTGCTCTTAAGGAGCCTCTACATGTCTCATAATCTTTTTACCCTACCAGCGCTTCGAGACCAACATTTGGCAAGTGCTGAGAAGAAGCGCCGCAACAAACTCAGTCACCACTGTCTGCCGGTTAATATAAATAAATAGAAATAGTAGTAGTAGGTACATTCGATTCAGGAGCAGTTCACTGAATTTACCATGCATTCTTGTATGGTGTATCTTATAAGAATGGGTATACAAGATTGCGTGGTATATTAAACAAGGTAGTGACGTGCTAATATCTAGACTTACATATTAAGATACTAGTAGAAATGACTCGCATACATAAATTTGAATAACTTGGATTGACCAGTCCCCGAAAGCAGCGCCTGTTCACAGACATGACGAGTGAACCAGCCATCGCTTCACTCGACCATATTAGAGGGAATGTAACGACCCGCCTCACTACGCCACCACCCCAGAGACATTTTAGTGAGAATGACAATTCCAAGTTATCTCTTTAAAAAAAAAACTAATAATAAAGCTAAGTAACAGTCCAGATTGAGAAGCATGACACTATAACATTTGAGAAATTATTATTAGTTTATACATTACTTTTCATTTTAATTCTTTTTAGTGCGAGCATGAGAGGACCATAATCCTACTCCCAGGATGACTTATCATTAAGAAAATCTCGAGTTGTATAATAGGCTTTTTTAAGCATGTGATCTTTAACTATATCTTTAAATTTATTATACGGTAGCTCTTTATATTTATCAGGGACTTTGTTATAAAAATGGATACCTTGTCCCATAAAAGTGGCAAACACTTTATTAAGTCTAAAAGCGGGTATAGCCAATTTATTTTTATTTCTAGTGTTAATTTGGTGAATATCACTTTTCTTTTTGAATTCAGTAATATTTTTTTGAATAAATAGAATACAGTTTAAGATGTATTGTGAAGCGGCCGTGAGAATGCCAATTTCTTTAAACAATTCTCTAAGGGATGCTCTTGCTTTCATTTTATACAAGTATCTTATCGCACGTTTTTGCAAAATAAATATTGTTTCAAAATCTGCAGCTTTGCCCCATAGCATGATTCCATATGACATTAGGCTATGAAAGTAGCTAAAGTAGACTAAGCGAGCTGTTGAAACATCGGTTAATGACCGTATCCTTTTTATTGCAAAAGCCGCTGAGCTGAGCTTTCCCGCCAGAGTTTCTATATGGGGGCCCCACTGGAGTTTTGAATCCAGGGTAATTCCCAGAAATACAGTAGAGTCTACCAGATCGATTGCATTATTATTAAGTTCTATTTGGGTACTAACTGTTTTTACGTTAGGCAAAGAGAATTTTATACATTTTGTTTTCTTTGCATTGAGTTGTAAATTATTTGTAGTGAACCAACTTAAAACTCTTGTTAGTGCATTATTTACATCGTCAAAGTTATTTTTACTTCTATCAATATTAAAAATCAAAGATGTGTCATCAGCAAATAACACGATTTCGCAAGAGTCCTTAACAAAATATGGTAGATCATTAATGTATATAAGAAACAAGAATGGACCCAGAATGGACCCCTGCGGAACTCCCATTTTCACAGGTGACCCAGAAGACAAAACACCATTTATGTCAACTTTTTGAACTCTAAAGTTTAAATAGGATTGTATTAAATCCAAAGCCGAGTCCTTCACCCCATAATAGTGCAGTTTGCGAATTAGCGTTTGATGTTCTACGCAGTCAAAAGCTTTTGAGAGATCACAGAAGACCCCTAGTGCATTTTGAGAATTCTCCCAAGCCTCGAAGATATGTTTAAGTAGTGCAACCCCGGCATCGGTGGTGGAACGACCCTTGGTAAAACCATATTGTTCACTATGAAATAGTTTATTAGAGCCAAAGTGAATCATAAGTTGCTCCTGTATGATTTTTTCAAAAATCTTGCTCAGAGCGGGCAAGATAGAAATGGGTCTATAATTGCCAGGGTCGGTTTTACTACCAGACTTAAATAATGGCATTAGTCTACTATGTTTCATGAGGTCGGGGAAGATTCCCTTCTCTATGCAATTATTGAATATTATCGCTAACTGTGGGGAAATTATATCAATAATGTGTTTGACTATCTTGACAGAGATGCCCCAGATATCAGTTGTACTCTTTACATTTAAAAGATTAAAAGTTTTAGTGATATCTAAAGGAGTAATATGTTTAAAAGAGAAGTGCGAGTCACAGGGTGTCACGTGGGTTTTCAATATTTCTTCAGCCTCGGAGGGAGATGACTTTAAGTTGGCAGTTGTTGCTGAAGCTATATTACCAAAAAATTTATCAAAAGCTTCCGCTACATCTTTATCTGCAGATATCAAATTATCGTGAACTTTGAGAGAAAAGTCATTATCTCTTGGTTTTAGTTTACCAGTCTCTCGGTTGATAACATTCCAAGTTTCTTTTATTTTATTACTGGCGTTCCCTATCTTGTCCCGAATATAAAAAGACTTAGCCATGAAGCAAACTTTCTTAAAAATTTTTGAATACTTTTTTACATGCTCAAGAAAAGATATACTATTATTATACTTTTTCATGCCATAAAGTTCATATAACGTATTTCGACTTTTGTATATTCCCTTAGTAGCCCAGTCACTAAACTTAGATTTGGTATTTGGTTTTAATGGCTTTACCGTAAAAACTTTGTCATGTTCGGTTTTAATACATTCGAAAAGGTTATTGTAAAGAGCATCTGGGTCTCCCTGCACATACGGGACTAAATGCAATTTATTTTCAAGATTATTTTTAAAACGTTCTAGACGACTAATGGTTACAGGTCTACATACGGCATTTTTATTACTTTTATTATTTAAATTATTACAAATAAATTCTACTTTAATACCACAGTGATCTGACGTAAGATTGTGTATGACAGCTTTATTGTCAGGGACACAGCTAGAGAAAATATTATCTAGACAAGTAGCTGTGGTTTCCGTAATTCTAGTTGGTTCCTTAAATTGACTAAACAAATTAAATGACTTAAAAAGGGAAAGTAGTCTTACAGAATATGATGATGAGCTATCTAGTAAATTGACGTTAAAATCTCCACAAACTAAGACCTTTTTGTTGCTGTTACAAGTTTTATTAAGAGCATCCTCAATAGCCGCTTCAAAAATACCAAAGTCCCCAGAAGGGGGTCTATACACACATACAATGATGTAACTCTCAAGCTCGACACAGGAAATTTCGATAACACGCTCAACTGACAGCCCTACTACATCTTTGCGTTCTTTATATTTAATATTATTATTCACAAATATTAAGGAGCCTCCGTGAATGGCAGACTTCCTGAAAAACGCGCTACTTAACTGATAATTATCTATATGGAAAGAGCTTTCATATTTCTTTAGCCAGTGTTCAGTAATACACATTACATTAATATCAAAACTTTTTAAGAATAGCTCTATTTCTAAGACTTTGCTGGCCAAGCCTTGAATATTTTGATGAACAATCTTGAATGTTCCGGGCTTGGCCTTTGTCGAGTGCCTCAGTTTAAACAACTAGTAGTAGGTACAGTCATAATATTGTTACTATTTACATACTGAGATATCAAATTATTAGTACCCTGACTATGATCAGTTTTATGAATATAATTACATTTAATATTGTATGCAATCAATGAGGCTAATTTATTCTTCAATTTTTTCGAGAGATACATTGTATCTACAGTCAACTTAAAGCTAGAAATAAATTTATTTATGTCAAAAAGTAAAAGTGCGTCGCTATGACGATAAGTCAAGTTATACATAAGTATATTTAAATCAAATATGTTCTTGTTTATCTTATTTAGATTATACCCTGAATTTACATAGGGTAAAGTGCACAAAATTATCTTAAATTTTAACCTATTTTGCAAATTCAATAATTGGTCAATATTTTGAATTATACTCTTTTTATCTACAGAGTAACTATTACCATACATTATAATAACATTGGAGTTCTCATCTAATTCTTGGTTTTGACCAATTTCGTAAATTATCTCTGTCAGAAACCTGCCTGGATAGCAAAAATTTAAGACTTGTGTATTCAAGTGCTCCCTGAGCATAGAACCTAACCCCTGACCAAGCTGATCTTTTTCGGCGGTAGGCGTTAAAAAAGTACGCAAGACTCTCTTAGCTCAAATTTATTTAAAATTAGTAAAAGTTAATATAATTACCTTTTTGCCTTGTCACAATACTTAAAAATCTACAACTTTGACCCACTATCGTTTGTCACCACTTTTATGGTGTGACACTAGCACTTCACTGCACTCCACTACCGGCTCTCCAACATATCATCCACCTTTCATCGCCATGGCTACGCTGTCTGACGTACAACAGCTCCAGTGCTCTCTTGAGGCCTCACTGCACCAGCGCATGAGTGACTTCGAGTCGCAGCTCAAGACTTCTGCTGAGCCGTCATCACTTGCCCGACTGTACGACGAATTCCGGGCATTCAAGGAAACTGTCCACGGCATCCTGCAGCTGTTGCGTAAGCAGATAAGTGAGGTCTCCAAAGTTACTGACACATTGGAGATGAGGCATCGTAGAAAGTGCCTACTGTTCGGCGGTATCTCAGAGGATCCCAAGGAGCAGACTTCTGCCGTGATATGTGGCATTCTGAGTGATCGTTTTGATTTGAAGGACATAAGCTCCTCTACATTCACAGCATGTCATAGGCTTGGACCTGCAGCCAAGGGTCGTATACGGCCTATTTTGGTCCGCTTTGTTGACCACTCGACAAAGACAGCGGTTTGGAGAAAGAAGACTGTCCTGAAGGGGACCTCTACTGTGCTCTCCGAGTTTCTCACACGCACTAGGCAACAACTTTTTACGGAAGCAAGGAAAAGATTTGGCATCACAAATTGCTGGACTTTTGATGGTAACATATTTGCTAAGTTGCCCAACGGGATGCGTCGCCAAATTCATAGTGAGCAAGATTTGGAGTGCCCCAAGCAGCCTGTTTCTGCTGGACCGGCGAGGGAGAGCCCAGCCACAGCGGACAAGAGGAGCAAGACCGCGTCCACCTCGGCCCCGCAGCGCTCCAAACGCATGGTCACCAAACAGGTTGCCGGGAAATAATTGTACCCTCCATAATATCTTCTGACTAGGCTGTTTCCTGAGGTACCTATACCCACATTTACATTTTAGAGCACTACCTATTATCTTTGTTTACCTTTTACGAACACTTTTTCTCTTCTTCTTCTTCTTCTTTTATTTTGGCCACAACTTGGTTTTGAGAACCACGATTTCGCCAATGTCACGTAATCAGCTTTGACAAAGTTTACAGGGTTTATAAAATTCAAAAATGTTTAAGTTTAAAATGTTAAGCTAAATTATTTGTGTGAGTACCTTAAACAAAAAAGACATCACAAATTGAGACAACACAAATATATACATAATACCGATTAAAATAAATGGAAGAAAGAGGGTAGGAAGGTCTTAAAATGTAAAATGTTTGAATTGACAATTGAGCTGTCAGAGTGACATATGACATTGTCAGGTTCGTCCAGAAATGTGTTAAACTCATGAAGCTAAAGATAAAAATGGAGGCCAGACTTAGAATACCTACTTGAAGCACAACCTATGTATCACTATCTCGCTCTCTGTGGGCAGGCTCTCTCTTTCTAAGTAGGGTAACCTTTTATTTATTTTTCTCAGGACGACAAAGACTGATTTACGTTTAAACAGTGTGTCTTGATAAAGTGCACTTAATATGATTATGAAAAAAGGTTTTCGATGTTTTTGTTTTAAGATGAATTACAACATTAAGAAAGTGTAAAGGCATCGAAAACTGTGGATATTTGATAGAAAACAGATTTTAATTTGGCAGTTGACAGACGGATTTGGATATGGATTGATTACAGTAAACGGCCGTAGAAAACATTATGCAAAATTAAAAAAAAATACAAAAAAGGGTTTTAGTGATCTTGGCAATAACAGTAGGTTATAGACTATTAGGGATCTGTATTTTAATACTACCTTATTATCATTTAAAAGTCTTATTACAGAAAATAACCAATTTATAAAGTAAAGCTAAGTTGTGTGGGTAGGATTTTTTGTTAAGGTTAAATAATTCTTCTACTTATTTCCACTAAAATAAAAGATGTTTTACACGAATTGTGTTATTTTACAGACTAAAGTTTAAAACTCAGTAATTAAAAGGCAAAATATGAATATTTACATGAAAATATAACCTCAACGTTGGGAATTGTAATGTTTTATTTTCAGTGTATAATGCAAAATACATGTAATTTACCTATAGATATTAATTAATTAATGAATAAAAACAATACTCCCCTGTTAATTTGTTCCGTAAATTTGAATTTATGAAGATTTTTCGTTGACAGCTGACGAAATTTTGTCTTCACTTTTTTGTCTTAAATATTATATATTTTCGTCGGATAACGCTCGTATACATTATTTATACGATAAACAATTGATTTTAGTATATTTTATCAGAATATTACACTAAATTTTAGTAAAATAACATTAAAAATTTGACCCGTTAAAATTACGCGTCTGACAGCTGGGGATGCCAGCGCAAAAAAAAAAAGAAAAAAAAAAGAAAAAGCTGGTTCTGGACCGCGTCCGGAGTGTCAAGTTCAATGATATTTTTCTAACAGAGCACGGTTTCATAAGCAAGCATCGGGAAGTGTGGTTGAGGTCAAATACAGAGTCAAGACAAAAAGATTCACGACTTGTCGCTTGCTCGGAATGCTCAACTTAATTACACATTACAAAAAAATACACGTAATCATCACAATTTCAGCCATAGGACGTCCACTGCTGAACATAGGCCTCCCCCAATGATTTCCATGTTGCATCGACATACCTTTGGTGGAGTTCTTCATGAGCTTAGTCTCGTGGCCCGTGTAGACCACCACACCGTATACCCATGAAGTATTCCGAAGCATCGCCCCACGAAGCAGCATCTGGTCCAGGCCCAGTGGTATCGTCCTGGAAACAATAAATCAATTGAATGTTCATCCTACAACTTTTATTGGCAGAAATAGTTATAAGATTTCCAGTGGTATTTCCTAAAATATTGTGCTATTTCGGTATCATAACTTACCTACGTAGGTAAGGGGTCATCCATAAAGTACGTCACACGTAAAGGGGGGGGTCGACAAAGTGTGACATGGTGTGACAAGGGGTGGGAGGGGTCCTAAGTTTCGTGACATCACATTTCAATTGTTTCAAATAATTGATATAATGTTGATTTCATAAAAAAGCACTTAATTTAAATGGAAATAAAATTAATTTCGGAACTGCTGTTTTAATTTAATAATTTTTTGATGTGAAATTGCAAAACATGTGACATCACACAAGGGAGGGGAGGGGGTTTGGGGGGGGGTCTCAGAAATGTGACCACCTGTGAAAAGGAGGGGGGGGGGGTTAAAAATTCATGAAATTCGTGTGACGTACTTTATGGATGGCCCCTAATTTGTCAGAGGCAAATGAAGAATTTGACCTATACTCCCTACCCTGGCTAGACGGGTTAGTAAGGCCAGGTATTCCAATATTCTTCCCTCAGTCGCCTCTTACGACACGGGAAGAGTGGGGGAGATCCTATTATACTCTGCCGGAATCACGTGGCTAACCTTGATCTAGGTAAAAATCAGGACAGTATCTAATTCAGTCATTGCTCTTGAGTATCTGATATAAGTTCATATTATACTCACTTGGCGTTAGTTTCCTTCAGCATGCCATTGAACTCGTAAAGGTGCCTGTTAGGCGATTCACACTGCACAGTAGCATGGAACTCGGCCAGTTGCCTCGTGCTGTCGAGACGAGCCGTCTCCGGGTTGGCCTGGCGGATCTTCAAGTTGGTCTCCCCGTCCAGGTTAGAGGTCTCGATGAACGATATTCCTTGCGGTTCGCTGTGGAAAGACATTCGAGTCAGTGGGGCTCAGTTTGAAGTTTTGAAGCGAGGTGACAGCATGAAAGAGTGATAAGTAGACTTGAAACTAGGTAAATGGCGTTAAGGTGTTCGGGCGGGAGGCAGTGGTTGTAAGGTACCGCTCCCGTGCCCGGGATATGCGGTCAGGAAGGGAACTAACTCCCTAGTGAGCCTATTCCCAAAGAGACTAATGCCCGTTTTCACCATCAATCCCTAATTTTTAAGTGACCCCTATGAAAACAAAATTCCTGTTATGTGATACCATAGGGGTCACTTAAAAATTAGGGATTAATGGTGAAAACGGGTATAAGTCCCTAGAGCCCTAGCCCTGCCTAACAATTTATACTTAGATATAATAAGAGACATAGGGCGTACATAAGGAGTATGCCGGAAAGTTTTAAATGCTATTCATAGTTTAATATCGATGCAAACAGAATAGCGTAGTTTCTTTTGGCAATAAATTATTACTAAGAATATTTTCGTAGCCTCGCTTTGAATGAACCTTGCAGGATAGATAGACTTTATTGTACACGGCGCAAAATAGACATACAACGAAACGGCACACAAATAAAAAACGAATCGGTACAATTTAGGCGGTCTTATCGCCGGGAAGCGATAATTCAAAAATGCGGAAATACAGTATGAGTAAACCAGCGGATGCGAATGAATACTTAATAAAATATCCAAAATAAGACCATGTATCGCGGCTATACTTTTACCTAAAATTTAATAATATTTCATTAGCGTTCAGTTAATTTAATTGACATTCTTGTCTTTACGTACGCTACTGTAAAAAAAATGCATTTCAGAAAATACAATGCAAATCAATGTCAATATCACTTTTTGTAGCTAGGAATGACGTAGGTAACGCAAACAGATGTCATTTCAATTGTTTTCTGCCATGACACAAATAACAGAATTATCAGGTACTTGTCATATTTAGAGGTTTGTCATATAAATAAATTAACTTGTTTTGAACTAAAATAGATACTATATCATACGCTAATACCTGCTGCATTACCTCATTATTTAACTGAGTCATTGTAGTAGGGAATTTAGTGCAAGAACCCCTCCACTTTGGTATAGAAGGCTCATTTTTGCAACAGTGA